GTGCTACAACTGGCGCGAGGGCAAGACTAACAAGCTGACCAAGAACAAGTGGAAGGGCCCCGCAGTCGTGGTGTTCGAGGAGATGCGCCAGGACGAGAGTGGACCACGGATCTACTGGATCGTTCACGGCACGCAGCTACTACGGTGTGCACCTGAACACGTTCGGCCAGACGTGAGCGATCAAGGGTGCGTTCTCCTCGAGAACCTGACTCAGGCCAAGGATGCACTGGGCAGTATGCGGAGGGCGGGCGTGACACAGTACCACGACATTAGCTCACAGCAAACCCCGTTCGACGCACCGGGCGACTCGGACATGGACGTCGACGGCGACGCGGAGGACGGAGACGGAGACGAAGGTCCAGCATCCAAGCGACGCCGAGGAGGAGGTCCTGATTCTAGGACGGCCCCCGTGGCGGAGGTACCTACAGAGGCATCGTCATCTGGGTCAGCGGCGGCAGCAGCCGTGGCAACGCCAGAGGTACCACCAGCCGCAGCAGCCCCAGCGGAGGATCTTCCTGGCGCGGAGGCGCCGGTGCCCGACGGCAGTCGACAGACGTCTAACTCTGGTCAGCCAGACCAGGAGCCGATGCCGACGACATCCCCACCAGAGCAAGAGCAGCCAGCAGCTCAATCGACAGCACAGCCAACGCAGACAGCGCAGCCAGCAGCCTCATCGTCATCAGCGGCGGCAGCACCATCATCGGAGCAGGAGCTCGGGTCGACGCAGACGCGGTCGAGGCCTATATCAAATCTTCAGAAAGAGCGGCTCAGAATGGTCAAAGCAGAGACGGCGATATTCACCAGACCTGGAGGCGGAGTCTTCAGAGGCACTCTACCCGACCCTGGACTGAGCAGCGCGGTACCAGTACCGGACCTCGACGATGCTGACGACGAACTTGCAGCTCTGCAGCTTATGGTCACCAGCCAGGATTTGCCATTCGGCTGGGAGTTCAACGGTACGGATGCGAAGCTCAGCGACATCTTCTTGGACATCAGCACGAGGAACATGACGCCCCACGAGCGCGCGGCGTTCATGCTGGGCGAGCGGAAGGAGCTGACGGAGTTCTTCGGCAATGACGTCTGGGAGTTTCACAAGCCCACCGGGGAGGAGGACCCTCGGCGGTTACTCAAGGCGAAGTGGGTGCTCAAGTGCACAAAGAACGACGACGGCACACCACGTGCCAAGGCGCGGCTGGCACTGCAAGGTTTCAACGACCCCACCGCACTCAGTGGCGCAGTGCCGACGGCATCGCCTACAGCATCGAGACTGGCAAGACAGATGGCGCTACTACTGGCGGCTAACAACGGCTGGGGACTAGGGGCAGCAGACGTAGCGACTGCATTTCTTCAAGGACGACCCCAAGAGCGCGAGTTATATGCGAAGGTGCCCAAAGACGCGGCAGAGCTCATGGGCATCGAGCCGAATACTCTTATGAAGCTCATTAAGCCAATGCACGGCCAGGTGGACGCACCGAGGCGTTGGTGGCTACGTGCGGTGGACGACCTGGAGGCCAGTGGTCTCAAGCAGCATCCTTTGGACCCCTGCACGTTCCTCAGTTTCGATGAGGACGGCAATAATGACGGGTTCATTCTACTCTACGTGGACGACATGCTGGGAGGTGGAGATCGGTGGCCAGGCAGTAAGTATAGTCGAGCTATCACCGAGGTGAAACGAAAGTTCAAGTTCAGGAAATGGATCGAAGACGACAAGATGGACTACTGCGGCAGCGATTTGACGCAGACCCCGCACTGGGAGAACGTGAAGTCGAACAGTAGCGAGATTGAGTTGAAGATGGCGACCTACGCGAAGAACTTGAAGCCCATCACGATCGACCAGAAGAGCAGCGACAACACGAGGGAGCTCACTATCAAGGAGAAGCGGCAGCTACGAGGCCTACCCGGAGCGCTGCAGCGGCCAAGCTCTCAGGCGTGTCCTCATCTTTCGGCTTCGGTCAGCATTCGCCAAGGACAGCAACCCGCGGCAACGGTGGGCACGGCCAATGGGGGCGAACAAGACACTACGGTTCTACAAACAGAACTCGGACGTCGGGCTCAAGATGAAGAAGATCGGCCAGGTATGCGACATAGCGTTCGTAGCAATGACGGACGCAGCCTGGGGAGTTCGACAGGGCGGGCCCAGTCAAGGCGGGTGCGTCACCCTGGCTTGCCACAAGAAGATATTCGACGGACACGAGTCCGACTTGAGCGTGATCGACTGGAAGTCCTTCAAGCTACTGCGTATGGCACGTTCCTCTCTGCATGCGGGGCCACAGGCAGCAGCAGCGGGCATGGGTGGCTTGGAGTTTGCGAAGCGATTCTGGGCAGCCCTGATCTACGACGGCGTGGACATCACGATGGATGAAAGCACCCGCATGGCGGGTGAGTCAGCATTAGTTGTGGACGCGAAGGCGCTCTACGACGCGGCCCAGAAGGAGAGTATCACTAGCTTCCAGGACAAGCGGACCGGCATCGAGGTGCTAGCGCTGCGTGAGAGGATGGAGGCTACAATGACACGCTGGAGGTGGGTATCTTCAGAGAGGCAATACGCGGACGGGCTCTCGAAGATCGCGGCGAGAAGGCTTCTCGCCGACCGTCTGCGATATGGCAGGCTACAGCTCAAGCGCGACCCGAACTACACGGCGGCGAAGAAGAAGACTAAGGAAGAGCGACAGGAGAGCATAGATCAGACCAGGCCAGCGACATCGGCGGCTACGCGGAAGGCAACGACACCGTTCATGTAGTTGGCGGCGTTCGCAACTTGTCGTTGCAGATCGGCGGCTCGCTCGGGCTACGGCACGAAGAGCGATAACGACGGCTATGGCATTGTGATTTGGTTTGCCATGGTTTTCATATATTCTTGGACTATATGGGGCCTATCCCGTTGCATCCTACCTGATCAAGATCAAGGGGGCCGAGTGCAAATGCAGGACTGAATGGCAGTTCTACGGGCGAAGGCAGAAAAGGAGAGGATCGAGGAGGAGAGTGAACCAAACAGACCACCAAGCGACGAGCGCGGCGGCTCGTCGAACGACCTGCACACGGCCAGGGCGGCGGGGGCGCAGAGCATGACGACGCACGAGCTAAGCGGAGACGCATGGAGGCTTCAGCATCAGACCCAGGGCTTTCGCAGTGCAGGCGAGGTGACGACCGAACCAGAGTTGACGGAAGGTTTTCGAGTTCACAAGCGAGGTTTTGTATGCAAGACTATTCTTTCTTTGTTTTGCGGCTTTCATTGCTTGCCGCCCGAGAGGTTACGATGGTGGATTTCGTTTGGAGATCCTTTTGTGATCGTGAATTTCGTTTGGAGATCCATGTATGATTGTGGATTTCGCTTTGGGGATCCATTTGCCTACAGTGCTATATATCGGCATTGTTCCTTTTAGCGTGGAGTTAGTCACACTTTCTCACGCATTCTATTTTTCTCAGCATGTTTATTGCTAATGAAATATTAGCAATGTTTATCTGGATTTTCTATATTTCAGACTGAAGGATTGCGTCTCTCTGTTTCGTTTGTTTTTACGCTTTCACGGGTGTGAGATATACGCTGTACATCTAGTGTGTATGCTATGTTGCAGTGTGCAGACAGTGCAGGGCAAGGATGTAGCATTGCGGGTGTACCATTGCACTTTGGCCCAAACCTTTTCAAGGGCCCTTGAGTCAGACCGAGCGCGCTGTGGAAAACGTCTCAGATGTTTCTCTGGTTTCTCATTCTCATTGCCATCAAAGACTTCGTGGGCTTTGATAAGTTCATACCGGTGGGAGGGTCCGCAGGGTGCTGCCGCCTTATTTTGGCGCACCCCTCATACGGTTCGTGGCCCCATAGGAGGGAGCTCCACCGAAAGGGCCCAGCGGGAGGGTCCGCATGGCGCCCCCGCCCCATTGTGGCGCACCCTTCCCGCCGCTCGTGGCCACACAGGGAGCTCAACCGAAAACCCCAGTCGGTGGATCCGCATGGCGCCGCCGCCTCATTGTGGCGCTCCCCTCACACGGTTCGCGCGTCCAATGGGGAACTCCACCGAAGGCCCCAGTTGAAGGGTCCGCCACCGCCGCCTCATTTCGGCGCACCCTTCATACGGTGCGTGGCCCCATGGGGAGTGTCACCGAAGGCCCCAGTGGCAAGGTTCGCATGGCGGCCCCGCCTCCATTGCGGCACACCCCTCACACGTTTCGTGGCCCCATTGGGGGTTCCACCGAAGGCCTCAGCGGTAGGGTTCCCATGGCGGCCCCGCCTCATTTCGGCACGCCCCCCCGCACGCTTCGTGGCCCCATAGGGAACTCCATTGCAGGCCTCAACGGCAGGGTTCTCATGGCGGCGTCGCCTCCATTTCGGCACGCCCCTCACACGCCCCGCGGCCCCATATAGAGCTCCACCGAAGGCCCCAGTGGCAGCGCCCGCATGCGTCCCCCAGCCCACTTCGGCACACTCCGCACACGTTTCCGCGCTGCCCCGTGTCCCATCCTTTTCGCGGCGCGTTGCCTACGATGAGAAGGCAGTATCATACGTTACTCGCACCTGCAAATGGCTGGGTCCGTCGCCAGGCTAATGTTTTGACCAGGGCCGCTTGAGACAGCTTTGGGTCGCTTTGGAAACAGAGCTACGATGTTGTATCGCGACGTAGCCGTACCGCCGCATGGTTGTTGCGTCGCTTCTTGGGGGCTTATTGTAGGCTCATCGGGGAAACTGGGGCCTCCAGGGGGTTCCTGTTGCCTTTTTCCTCCTGGTCGCCCGCGCCCCTGCAGGAGTGCAGCATGGCGGGGAGTGGGAGGGAGGGGGTGTGCGAGCAATGTGGAGAGAGGGGAGGGCGGGGGGTGAGAGAGGAGGCGAGGGAACCTAGATGGGGGGAGGAGGAGGGTGAGGAGCAAGTTGATGTTGAACACGGCTGGAGGGAGGGGGTGGGGGGATGGATGCAGGGGAGAGGGCGGGCGAAAGGGCTCTGCGTTAGGCCCTTGCTCTGCCTCAAAGGCTATTCCGCCAATCCTTTGGCGCGTCCTATCCCCAGGACTCCGCCAGTATGACTCGGAAAGCTTCCATGCAGCTGACCACAAAGTTGATCGCAAATCATCCGCGCGGGCCTAAGTGATCGACCCCCTCTCCGTCTGATGTGGCTCAAGATATCGATACTGATACTATGACTCTACGCCAAGTCAAGATCGGGGACACCTTTTCAAGGTGCTGGGGTAGGAGGATGGGTGATGTAGATGGACGGATGGATGAGGGTCGTGGAGGAATGGAGATGCGGGAGGATGAGGGGCGGAGGAGGACGAGGGATGAAAAGGACGAGCATGGAAGGAATAGTCATATGGATGAGGATGAGGGGTAGAAGGATGGAAGCGGAGGAGGCAGACGACGATGAGGAGGATAGAGGAGCAGTCGGGAGGAAAAGGGAAGCAAGATGGACGACCAGAGTAACCCAAGGATGCAGCAATGATGTTATAAGACGCCCTTCCGTCCCAAGTCCCCTCATCGCACGTCCCCGCAATTATAATTGCTCCGTGCGAAAAGCGTCCCCTTGGATGACGAGCACCCTCGTGGAACTGCCACTCAGGCGAGACCGCGTTTTGCGAAGGATCGACACTCCATCCCGGACCTCTTGCTAAAATAATCGCGAAGAGGTATAGTGATAGTGTTCAAGGACGTGTCCAGCCATATCACTGCTATGAAAAATGATCGGCTCTCCGTCTGGGCGAGTGCTTTACAATTGCAAATCGATGGTCATACTGTTTACGGAAGTATCGAGCGAGAGTTTCATGTCGAACAGGAGCCACTTTCCTTCTCTGTAAGTGTTGCACGTTTGGGGCTTCGGCCCATCGGTTTTTAGGAAGACTATAGCGAGAACCGCATGTCGAAAAGGGGTCGCCCTCTATCCGTGTAATTGTTGGAAGTTTAGGAAGCGAATCTGTGCAGCGCTAGGGCGACAGCCGTATAGAACTGCGCCCGCTCCTACTTCTTCCCACGTTTCTGCTCCTTATTTTGCTTGCATTGGTGTTCGTCCTCCTCCACCGTTTTCTTCTCATCTGCTTATGTGTCATCCATTTTGGCTCAAGCCAGGAGTCCTGGCGCGCAAAAACTCTACGCGAATACCCGGATACTGATACTGTACGCCTGCCTCCAGCCGACAGTCCCACAATACGCATTCTGATGTCTTCTCCTTTACACTCGCCCAGGCCTAAGAAGGCACGCGCGGACAGCGACGTGGAAGACCTCGACGCGATTGCGGAGGGCGAGCCGGTCACGCTCGGCGGCATCAGGAAACTCCTGAAGGAAGAGATCGGCCCCATCACCCGTTCAGTCGCGAAGCTCTCCGCGGATCTGACTGTGTTGCAGATGAAGATGAACGAAGAATTGGGGTCGATGGGACTCCGCATTACCGGCATGGAGTCGAAGCATGAAGATTTGCAGCGTGAGGTTGACAAGCTTCAGGAGACGATGAAGGCCATGCAGACCAACGCGACAGTGCAGGCCCAGCAACACGTCCAGCAAAACAACCTCGTGCCTGAGAGCCTCACCACCGTCATTGGCAACATCCCGAACGCAGACGGCATCGAGAAGGCCATTGAGTGGGTCAACGCCCACTGCCAAGCAGTGGGAGTTTCTCCGCCTTTGGATGCCTTTTGAAAGGCAGAGCAATTCAACGGCGTCCTCTTCGTGAAGAGCCCCACGGTGATGCAGAGAGACTCCATCATCACAGCCATCCGCCAAGCTCCGGCGGGGTCGTCAGGAAAACCATGGGCTAAAGTGGATCAGCCGTTCAACACCCGCACCGCCGAGTCCGCCCTGTTCGCCTTCAAACGCATCTTGGTGGATTGGGGGCACGGCCGAAGGGAGGTGGAGGTGGACACGACCAGCCGGAGACTGCGGGTGGCAGGGACGGACGTCGTGAAGGCAGAGGTGGTCGACCACACCTTGACGCTACAATGGTGCGACGGGGAGTGGCAGCGCTGGGAAGAGCTTCAGTCTTCTCCAGAGCTCGCCCGCCTCAAGACCACGACGCAGGAGAAGCTCGACCGGGTGAAGAACATGCCCGGTAAGGGGACAAAGGGCAAGGGCCAGTAGGACGTACGGCAGCCCATGGAGGGCAGCCCCCCGGGACAAAGGGCATTTTTCTAGCAACGGCGAGTGTTAAACATATGCGCATGGAACGTGGAAGGTCTGACAAATATCAAAATTGAGCAGGTTTGCTCGTACATGAATTCGAACTCACTTGACGTAACAATTCTCCAAGAGACTCGGCGGCTAAAGTCTGATTTTTTTCAGTGGGAGTCCGGACATCATATCTATCTTTCGGGCTCCAGCACCGGAGAGAAAGAGTGGGCTGGCGTAGGGTTTATCGTATCAGGACGGTTTCACCGCAGAGTTCTGGGCTTCAGTCCAACATCGAACCGGGTGGGAAGCATTCGCGTGAAGACACTCGGAGGAAGTATTGCGATCATTGGGACATATGCTACGCATAACCGCCGCCCTCTCGACGAGCGCTTGGCGTTTTACGGCATGCTGGAGACGCACCTGGACAAAAGGTAAGGTCAGCGGAGAGCAGTACATCATTGGAGACATGGGCGGTCGATTGGGTCGTCGACGGCCGGGCGAGGAAGACTACGTTGGCGATTATACTTTCGGCCGGGAGGCGCAACAATCAGCGGAAGTACCCAACAGAGACCTGCTGATGGAGTTGTGTGTCAGCCGGCGATGCGCAATCGCGAACGCATTCGTGCCGAACGAGCCCAGCCAGCAGGTGATCTACTACGAGGTTGGCTCCACGCCGGCGCCCCCGATTACCGAGACTACGTTCGCTATGTTGGATATTGTCTTCGTTCTGGTCGACTCCATGTGGAAAGTTCGGTATTTGCATAGCGACCCTTTGGCTGCGATGTTAACCCATCACTTCCCGTTGACTGTCCGCCTGTGTGTAGAGCAGGCGCGACGGATCACGCCAGCGAGCCGGCCAAAGTACGATTTTTCTGCGTTGTCTGAGACACGGGTGAGGCGTGCATTTCTACATCGCGTTTCATCTCTTCGACGCGACGAGACAGCAGAAGAACGGCCATGTTTGAACACGTCGTGGGAGAGATTGAAATTCAATTTGGTGACAGCGGCCAGCGAGGTAATCCCAGAGATCTCGCGCAGCAAGCGTAGACCCTGGATCAGCGACGCAACCCTGAGGCTCATCGAACGCCGGGCCCGGTGCAGACAGCTGGTAGACGCTGAGACCGAAAAGAGGGCAGCCAAGGATATCAAGAAATCCGCTCGCCAGGACCGGGCGCGCCGGCTCCGGGACATGGCTTCGCAGGGCACTTGGGCGTCTCTCACTCGGCTCCGCCGCGGCCGGAAATTCGCGCAGACGAGGCTGCAGCAGGAGAGCGAGGCGCCGGTCGGGACCGAGGACAGGGCGGCAACCTTTGCAAAATATCTTGAGACCGTGCAGTGGCCCGTGCGCCCGGTGTCCGGGTTGGACGACGCACCGGAAGCGACCTGCAGCCCATTGGATACTCGCGAAGGGAATTTCTCACGCACAGAACTCCGCAAAACGATCAACAGAATGGCCAGCGGAAAAAGTGTGAAGCCCGACGACGTCCCGATCGAACTCCTCAAGGTCCTGGCGGCGGCCACCGGCAGCCCTTGCTTGACGTCATGAACATGTGTCTCCTTCTCGAGGAGGTGCCCCAGGAATGGATGATCGCCAAAGTAGCCATGGCGTTCAAGAAGAATGACCCAGGATGTTTGGACAACTACAGGCCGATATGCTTGTTTTGCGTGGCATACCGCGTCTTTGCCAGCATGCTCAAGCAACGCTTTCTTGACGCAGGACTCGACGATAGAATATGGCCGACGCAGTTCGGCTTCCGGGCGAAGCGGTGCACGGAAGACGCCATATTTATCGCCCGGAGACGCATGGGACTTGCACGGGCGCAGAGAGGCGGCTCTGTCTCGCTGCTAGCACTCGATTGGCGTAAGGCGTTCGATAGCGTCAACGTCGATAGCATGCTGTCAGCTTTGCAGAGGAAGGGCTTCGCCGGCAAGTACATCAGGCTGCTGCGAAACACCATGAACGGCAGACAATTCTAGGTCGAAGACATGGGGGTTACGTCAGGGAGACGGCCGCAGCGGTCAGGCATCTCGCAAGGATGCACGCTGAGCCCGCTACTGCTCATCACTGTGATGTCTTGCATGATGGAGGACGCGGTGGCCCTGCTCTCCCCGGGCACGTCCGCGGCAGACGCCGCCTGCGCCGACGACGCGCCGGCTGCGGGGGCAGCTACCGCGCGCGTCCAAGAGTTTGTCCAAGCAATCTCCAAGGCCGGGCAGGCCTACGGTCTCGAGCTCCACGTCAAAAAGTTCCAGCTGCTACAGACAGGTCGCCAAGCTGACGCACAGATCGGGGGCCGCTGCGTGCAGTGCGAGGAATCGCTCGTGTACTTGGGGTCGACTCTGACTGCTGACGGAAAGATGGCGACCGAACTCTGCCGAAGGATCGGTTTGGCGAGCGCGGAGTTCCTTGCAGTGAGGTAAGCGTGGCGGCATTCCGTTTTATCTCGCAGATGGAAGCTGAAAGTCTTCACCGCGCTCATTGAATCAAAACTACTGTACGGGTTGTCCGCCGGATGCTGTTTGAAAGTTGATTTGCGGAGGCTTGACGGCTTCCAAGCCAAGTGTCTGAGAGTGATCATGGGCATCTCACCATCCTATAATTCGCGGATCTCGAACGCGGAGGTCCTACAAAGGGCCGGCGTGCAATCCGCTTCAGACCAGCTCTACAGACGGCAGTTCGTGTACATGGGCAAGGTCGCGCGCTCTCCGCCGGAGTCGGCACTGAGCAGGGCGTCTTTCATTCCCGGGACAGACGTGCCGGCCACCGACCGCTATGAGAGACGGCGTGGCCGACCGAACAAGGAGTGGATACGCACAGTTATGCCACAGGCTATCCAGCTGACTGGATCATATGTGCGATTCCGTGAGCAAGTTGCGGAGGAGCACGCGTGGAAGCAGCTGGTGTACAACAAGCGATTGAGTCCACAGCCGTAGAGTTCTCTTAGAACGAGTTGCCACTTCCTTCCGCTGCCTTCCTTCCCCCTTTCCTTGCCTCTCCGCCTTCCCCCTTGCCTTCCTTGCCCTCCTCTGTCTTTGCTTTCCTTCGAAGCAACTCACGTGTGATATTTGATTCAGCATTTTTTAACGGGCGCGCAGACGCGCCGATCTGCATGCTGCCGCGCACGTCCATGGGCTGCCCGCAGCCTACGACTCCGACCGACCGGCCGCGACTCCCAGTCATTCTCCGCATCTTCCTTGCCAGTCCTCCCTCGTCCCTTGTCACACGTCGATCATCCCTCCTTCCTTGGTTCTCCTCCCTCCTGCCTCTCTTGCCCGGGCACCTTCGATGGCGTTCCTCCTCCCCCTCCCTCCGCCTCCCCCGCCTCTTCCCGCCTCCTGCCCCCTCCTGCTGCTCCTACTCCTGGCCCTTCCCCCTCCTCCCCTCCTGCCTCCACCTGTCTGCCTTTTTCTTTTTCTTCTCCCGCGACGACGACGACGACGACATCGGCTCCCGGGAGCCAGGGCTGCGCTCAGGCCGATCGTGCTCGGGCCAGGGAGGAGGCGGCGTCGGACGGGCTTAGGACGATGATAAATCAGTTCCAGAGCGTTCTGGAACGCTCTCAGAGCTTTCCGGAACGCTCTGAGGAGGCCGCGGTGCTCGAGACATCCCCAAGTCCGCCGGATCTCAGAGATTCTCGATTTATCCGCACCCGATTTTATCTTCGTCCTGGCTTCGTCTTGCACGGCCGCAGAGGGCTCGCGGGGCGAGGCCTGCAAGAGCGAGAGCCGATCACACGCGACGGGTCGCACGGCCTGGGATCGTCCAGTGATGTGCCCGGGCGCCCGTGGCGAGCTCCGCCACCGCGCCTCGGGCGGCTCGGGAGGGGGCTACGCGGCGAGGGTCTGGGGGATGGAAGTGGGTGCGGAAGCGGAACGTATGGGACGAAAACAAGAGGAGCACGTATAGCCAGGACCCAGGTTAACCTCTATAAGTCTTTGGTGCCGGCCCCCGCCATGGTCACTCGGCGTTGAATAAGACTGGTCCTAATACCTCTTCCTCCTCCCCCCGCTCCCCCTCTCCTCCTCAACCTCCTTCCCACTCCTCCTGCTCCTCCTCCTCCTCTTCTCCCTCGTCCTCCTCTTCTTCCTCCTTCTCTTCCTCCTCCTGTTGCGCGGCGGGTGCCGCGCGAAAAACAAATAGTTACACCTTATTGGTGTGACCCCAGTCATTCAAGAAGGGCGCCAACAAAATCATCAGTTTGCCCCCTTTGGGGTTCTGAAGACTTCTATCAAGGTTAAGGGGAGCCGGTTAGTAATTGGGCCCCGAAGTCCAACATACATATTGGAATCGTCACACCAGGGTTGCCGTATTTTTTTATTGAGTGTGACGGCAGTTCAGGTCAGTGGAATGGGGCGGGGCGGCGTCCCCCGGTACACATCACTAAACCAGGTCCCACTAAACCCAATCTTGCCAATGCCCGAGATCAGTTTTTCCCTACCTGGGCTCTGCCTAGAAGGGTTCTTACTCTCTTGGCTTAAAGGGCCGGGCAGTGGGAACCGGCCCGGGCGGTTCCCCCAGCATCCGTCCCGCGGTTCCCCCAGTTACGTCCCTGTAGCTTAGCATCGCACAGCGCAGCATGACATAGCATAGCATAACATAGCATAGCATAACATTGCATAGCATATCATAGCATAGCGCAGCATAGCATGGCATAGCATAGCATAGCATAGCAACTAATGCTGCTTTCCTAGGGGCTCCAACTTCTAGGTATGGTCGCACTGGGGTAATTGTCAATTTTGGACTGGATTCACTGTCTGTGTGGCCGCGTGCGTTGTCCATTTGAGGCACGAGCTTCCCTGCCCAACAGCGGTCGCTGTCGGTTTTGGACAGCATGTGTGTTGGGGCATCGCGCGCACCCATTTTTGTCTTTGCCCGCTGCGAACGTGCCAAGAGTAGGGGGGGCGGGGAGGGTCACCCTTGGGAGGGACCCTCGGAGGGACAGCGCACCAGCATGCCCGCATCGTGCAGGCGCGGTGCCGCACTGGGGGACAGCTCGCCAGGGGGCCCCAGGGGCTGCGCGGCCGCCGAGGTACGGCCCCGCGCTGCAGGGCGCCGGCGACGAGCGCGACAAGGCCGAGAAGTTGCTGCGGGAGGTGCAGGCTCGTCGCGCGCGGCGGCGGCGACGGCGGCGACGGCGGCGACAAGGGGGAGGTCGGATGACCAGCACAGATATCGGCGTGGTGCCTCCTTTGCGGGATGATGGTCCCGATCTCGGTGTTGTTGGTATTATTCGGGCTTCGTAGACACCATAATTTAAGTCTCGGATCAACTTCCCCTGGTGGAACCAATCCACTGTGCCGGTGTTGGTATCTATTCCCAAGTCTCGAAGGAGGGAGGTGGAGGTGGAGGAGGGGGAGGATGAGGAGGAGGGGGAGGAGGAGGAGGAGGAGGAGGAGGAGGAGGAGGAGGAGGAGGAGGAGGAAGGTGGGGAGGCAGGTCGACGGACGGCGGCACGCGCGCAGGACGGCGACGACTGCGGCGACTGCGGCGACTGGTGACGGCGACGGCGGCGACGACGACGGCTCGCGCGCGGGACGATGGCGGCAACGACGTCGACGAGTAAATATGCTCTTCTCCGCCTCATCTTCAAATACAACTTAAGTCAACTTGCATGCTACGCACTGTCTGCCTGAACTAATGCTGCATCCTGCAGCTGTATTGATTGCTCAAGCAAGCTTGTTTTTGCTTGCAGGAGAGAAAAGGAGCGCACCAGCCCTCGGCCGCCGCGCGTCGTCGGTCGTAGGCCAGCCGGCCTCCTCCCTACACATACTTGATAGAGTAATCTTGCTTACCGGATACTTGTCTTATCGATGTATCATCCCGTCCCCTCTCTCCCTGAGCAGAGTGAACATGAGATCTGAATTCCTTTTTGGCATTTTATCCCGATTCTGAGAGGAAAGACGGGTTACCAGCCGAAACGCGCGACTTAGTCGACGCGGGGTCATCTCACCCAGAAGAAAGAACTTCGGATGAGCCCCGCGACTTAGTCACTGTGGGAATGCGCTGTGATAAGACAGATGATGGGTCCGTCGTTTCGCGAAGCGCCAACAGATACGTTGTACAACATGACGGACATAACACTATTGAGAGCGGCCCAAGTCAGGGCCGTATCCCTTCTTCTTATATCGCCATTCGGGCATCTAGGGGCAGAAGCACTGAAGGGGTGGCAGAGATGCCGGTAGATGTTTCACCCTCCGGGATGCCGATTGGTAATCGGGAACAAACCCCAGACCCGTATGGGCGAAAGGGCATAACAGCGAGACCTAGGCGAAGCACGCTCTCGTCTTGGAGTGCCAAATCGACGGAGTCAATCAGCCCGATTCCAAATGCTACACATACAATCGTGCCTGCCACTAGCGAAACCAGTCGGCAAGGGGAAGCTCGTGAGAACGCAGGCGTGTACCCCAGCGTCCCAGGCGAATGGGCAGGTACGAATAGAGACGTCCCCGTCCCGATAGCATGCAATGTACAATTCGGTCAGGGCAGTGATGATCCCATTGATGAAGAGCATGAAATAAACTCAATGGAGGAAGATTTTGATAATATCAACAACGAGATCTCTTTGAGCTGAGAATTGTCCCTGATGATGGGAGACGACCTCCCCGCCCAAGACGAGAGGTGGTCTTCAGATGGACCTGATGAAGATACCAGTGCCCTGGCGCCGCAGGTGGACAGGACTGAGGCCCAGGCGAAGCATGAGAGGGAGTCCACAGAACGGACCCCTGCACCTCATCTCAAGAAGCAGAGAAACGAGCAGTATGACCTACATGTCTCACCACTGAAAGAAGGTTTCTTTCGTCCCGCGGTCACCTCAGGCGACCGGCAACCCTCGATACCAGCTGTTGTTGAGGATGAGGAAATGGTTGGACAACCAGCTTCGTGCACTGAGCTAATAAAACAGGACGAGAGGGATGAGGAGCTCCTAGACGTACCTAAACCCCCGGAAAGTGCTTTTGTTCGCCCCAGATCGAATGCGTCTAGTCGGGGAAGACCCAACATACCTAGATCAGGAGCGAGACCCACTTCAAGGAGCAACAGTACCATCTCTATAATGGAGGAACGCTGGAACCCAAACGACGACTGCATGCCCCGGGCGGAAGGCAGATGTCCGGGGAAAGCCTACAGGCCAGAAGGCGCATGTAGGTGTAGGCATCCAGTTTGTAAGAGCTGCTCGGAAATATGCTCCAAGTGTAGTGTCCAATGGTTTTGTACCGAGTGCCTTCCTATGGAAGAACACAACTGCACTTATCTTCTCATGCGGACTATTCAGGATCAGGCTAGGCTAGCTGAGGCTAGCACCCAGCGTGACTTCCTCGCAAGCGAAGCACAGTTGGCCGAAAGGGCCCGTATGGATCGAGAGGAGATGTTTGCAACCGTGGCAGAAGTTCGGAGGGCGTTAGAGGCTGAGAGACTCGCCCTAGCTATGGCCGCTAGAGAGCGAGAACGAGAACTGATGGAACAAATGCATCGTCAGACCGCGGCCGCCCAGCGGCAGGCGGAGATAGAAGCCGAAAACAGATATCGTGAAATGCTGGCTTCGGAACGGCAGGCCGTTGCGGCGGCAACTGTTCAGTCTGTTGATGCCGAAACAGTCGCCGCGGCTGTTGCGGCGGCTAGAGTAGAAGGAGAACAAATCGTTGCAGCCAGGGCGGAGCGATAAAAGCAGACCTTACAAGAAGAGCTTAAAAACGCCATGCTGGAAGCGGTTAACACTCAAGCAGTAGCTGCGAAGATGGCCGACCCGAACAATCAATATTTGGAAGAACTCAAATCGCATGAAGAAGCCAGATCATCCCTGCAGCGCATGCAATCGAGCAGTGCTAAATGCCCGCCGGCCAAGCCGACTGGGACGAACGTACATCTATTGTCAGCGGCTCAGTCGTCTGGCACTGCGTCCGTTCCATTACAGTCCGACTTGACAAATGTAGTAAGCGCGGGAGCGTCAGCCCTGCTGGTAAGGGAGGTGGCGCAATCTCCACCCGCTGAGCGGGGAGAAACACCAGCAGAGAGTTCCATAGTGGCTCAGTTTTGTTCGGTTTGCTTTCGCCCAAGGACGGGTAATTGCGCTGGCTGTGGTCGGTCGGTTTGCGAAGATCATTTCGATGCGAGCACTGGAAGATGTTCCAAATGTGTTTTACGGAAGAGTGAGAGGTCGGCCGCCAACGCGCGAGAAGAAGAGGCCATGGCGAACGCAGCTGAGACAGAGAAAGGAATGATGAGGCTCAAAGCCATCATCACGGATCCAACTCCGCATGCTGAACATAAACAAAGAAAAGGATTCACTGTGGGCTCATTTGATTTGCCGTTGCAATCACGAGACACTCCTGTGAGACCGTTGTTGCGCGATAACTTCACTGCCCCCGCCCCTGCCCTAGAGGGTCCGGCTAAGCCGAGTACCCCTGAGAATGGATTTCCAATTTGCATTAAATTGGCAGGGTCTAATGACGACAACATACTCGCCAATTGCCGCCCATCCGCAAAGGAGGGCTCTATGGGACCGGCGGCGACTAAGTCGTCGGGCGGTGAAGGACAGGACGGAGATGGGAACGATAAGAGTGATGCTCCGAATTCCGAGAGCACGTCAACGCGTGACGACGATCGTAGCAAACGACCACATAAACCGCCTCCAGGAAGCCCAGGGGGTTCAGATCCCTCGGATGGCGGAGGCAGCCGCGGGGGACCTCGGGGCCCTCGCGGGCCGCAGGATCCAGTTGTTATTGATGAAGGTACGCCGTTATATCAATGGAGACAGGTTGGCAATAAGCAGAAATTTAACCTAATGGGTATCCCCGCGGAGTGGCAAATGCTTACGGTGCGGGCGATCGCCGGATCGTCGCCTGAGAGTCAGGCAGCGCGTCGTTGGATCGCGGAAGCTATGGGCCCAGCCGTGGACGATGAGCAGCTGAAAGATGCAGGGCGCTTTCAGCGTCTTGATCTTATGCTTGCTACAAATCTGATCGAACAAATTTAACAAAATGCGAAGGAATCGCAGCCAGCCTGGTCATCATATCCATTTCCTCCAACTGATCCAGCGGATGGAATACAGCGCCAATGATGAGGGAAGGCTTTTAACTGGACGCGAGATGGTACGAGCCATTTGCCATTGGTGCTCTGTCAGATCGGAGTTGGGCCAATATCGCATTTCGCGCGATATCTTCAAGGTAGTAATTACCCCCCGCAAGCCAGATGCTGACCTGTATCATTTCTATAATGAATGGACAGACGTATACCAACAGCTCTACGGCGCCCGACCTCCGTCTGATGAAATGAGGGCCTCAATTCATGCACACTTCTTTGAGCAATGCAGAAAGCCGAGCAAGCTGAACTTTGCATGCCAACTATACGACATGTCAAAAGACCAAATGGGACATGGCGTGAAGAGCTATGAATAACCGATGGAGCAGATCGAGGAAATGATGTTGCGAGAAAAAGAAGTATGGAACATCCGCGCGCATGATGGCACCTTGAACCAACGTGCTAGAGGCACGGTTAGGCGGAGGTGGGGGCAATGACAACCGATGGAATGCCGGCGGCAAAGCCGCTCCGGCAGAAGTGGCAGCGAAGCTGGGGAAATCCCTTGACGTCATGAAAAGCGGATTGACTAAGGGCGAGACGGCGTGTAAGTACGTGCGTAAGGGCGAAACCTGCCCATATGCAGGGAAAGGCTGTCCCTCTAATCATAAGAAGCCCAAGAATGCCGCACCGGCTCAGCTGAGTACGGGAAAGAAATCTAGTGCCGCACCTGCCCAGGATAAGGGTACCAGAGGGAGATCTAAGGACCGTAGCCGAAAAGGGCAGGGCCGATCCCAGACCCCGACGGGCGGACGTGGAAATGGAGCGCAACAGAAAAACAGGAGTCAATCCAATCAATCGCACGGAAAAGAGAGCACTAGTCCATGTTACGCGTTTTCCCGAGATCCAAAAAATTGTCGAGGGCCAGCAGATGGTTGCAATAAGGCCCACAGCGGGCTGAGTGACGCTGAGAAGCTTAAACGCGACAAGTGGGAGCAGTCGAAGCGTGACGCGGGACAATCTTTGGGATACGAGCGTACGACTCAACAAGCCAATGCCGCCGCTGCCAATGTCTCATCGACAGGGG